TCCAAAGCTATAGAGCTTATTCTACCAAAAGATCCAGGTAATTTTTCTAGACCTTGTTTACTAACCAGAAGTTTTCTAAAATTGGAGAAATCATATGAAACATCACATTCCACTAATTGCAGGGCTCAAGTATACACCAACAAGCATTATATTTGTGAAGGTACCAAGTATATCCAAATATGAGTGGCACTCATTTAGCATTACTTCCTGCTCTAGGGTTGATGAGAACACAATGTCTATAATGATCAAATCCGAAGGATCGTGGACAAGTTCTCTCTCCCATATGATCCAAACTAGGCAAGAGTCGGATGGCGATCAGACGAAGTACATACCTATTGCAGTAGAAGGCCCTTATGGACCTGTCTCTATGGACTTCCTAAGGTGCATAAAAAATTAACTTTTCAGTATAGAATATATATTGTTAAACTGCTCAGTGATCATCATTTAGCATCTCAAAATCTGGTGAAAATGAATTTGAAATCTTGTGCAGATATGACAGTCTACTTCTTGTTTCTGGAGGAATTGGAATAACCCCATTTCTGAGCATCATACTGGAACTTGCTTTGTCCCAAAACAGCGGCATAAACAAATTCCTACCAAGAATGCAGCTTATATATGTTGTGAAGAAGTCCCAAGACATTTGTCTGTTGAACTCAATCTCACCTCTAATATTTGGCCAGCCAGCAGAAAAATGCCTTCTGAAAGTTAAAGTCTTTGTGACCCAAGAAGAGCAGTCTGATGCAACAGTAAGAGAATTACTAAACGAGTTTTCTGAAGTGCAAACAGTGAACTTTGGTACAAAGTTCTTGAATTTTTCAATCAGTGGACTTGAAAACTCACTTTGGATGGCTGCCATAGCAGGAATTTCCTCTATCCTGTTTCTCATCTTTCTCATTATGTTCAACCACATTTTTGTTCCCTCCCAGAAAAATCCCACCAAAGAGAAGACTCCATCTTGGGTTGTAGATCTGCTTATCATATCTTCCTTCATTCTGGCATTAATATGCAGCATCTTTGTAGCCCTTGTTATAAGATGGAGAAGGCTAAAGAAACAGATTCTTCCTACCCTCCAAAAACAAAGCAAAGCTTTAGAAAAAGGGTCAACACAAGCAAGTGATGCTCTTGAGGAACATGAAATCCATTTTGGAGGCAGGCCTAACTTTGAAGGTACTTAGATTCAATTTATCCATGCAATCTTTTCCAAGTTCCAAACTTTTTAAAATTCCTTGTTCTGGCATGCAATACTAGGATATGTTTCTAACTTTTGTTGAATTGAGCAGATATCTTTGCAAAGTTTCCAGATGAGAAAGGTGGATCTGATATTGGAGTGTTGGTCTGTGGACCTGAGACTATGAAAGAATCAGTGGCATCAATTTGCCAGAAAAAATGTGGAGCTAAGAAGCAGAAACCGAATTTCAGCTTCCACTCCCTCAATTTCACACTCTAGTCTCACACCAGAAACCATAAAAAAAAGTGAAGATAATAACAGTTAGATTTCCATCCAAAATAGTATACAGATCAATCAACTCTAGATATTTGGTATTTTAATCAACAGGTTTGTGTCTATCTAGATTGATCAGTTGTTGTAATTGCTTCTTAGGCTTCGAAGATAATGAATTTGAGCAATGTACATATATATAAATGTCTCTTTGTTTGTGGTATAAATATGAACTTTAATGATTGGAACTTTGTTTTTTCTCAGTTGCTCTTCCACTGCAGATAGTTTACTTTTTTTAATGTGGAATAATGGGGAGCACTCACCCAAATTGGGAAAATCTGGAATAATGTCTATTATTATATCATAATCATGTTGGTTAATGGTTACAGGAAGATCCATGAGGAGCCAAATCTTTCATTTTAATTTTTTTTTTTTTTTTTAAGATAAGATAAAGGAGGAGCCAAGTCTAATTCAATTTATTTTACTTTTTTTTTTCTCTAAAAAGAGGATAATTCATTCATACCCAGAACAGTTTACAGAGAACTAAAGAACAATACAGCCCCAAATTCATGAGGGTCCTAGCCTAACTAAAGATTACATTGCAAGTTAGTGAACGAAAAAAAACACAAACATTTTACAAACATTTTGAATGGTTGGACCATGAATATCTTTTTTTTAGGATTTTTTCTATTGAGAGAAGTGATATCATACTAAACTCATACACACTATACGAATACTAGGACTCGAACCCCTAATATTTCCTCGATATTAAGAGCAACTCCACCCATTTGCCCTTAGTCATGGCAATGGGGGAGTTAGGGCAGGCACTATTCACGTGAATAGTTGTTGCCATTGCAAATAGTATTTTATGTTTCCACCCGTTGCCATGGCTAAGGGCAGTTACTATTTATTTTTTTGTTTTATTCACAAATTTTTTTACCTCAATAATTAATTTGGATAATATTTTCGGATAAGATTTCCAGGTTCCTACGTGTCAAGACTATTCATAATCGGATAAAATTTCTAGATAAGATTTTTGGGTTCAAATTTCAGATGAATTTCAAATTTCAAATTTCAAAATTCAGATAAATTTTTGGGTTCAAATTTCGGATGAATTTCAAATTTCAGATAAGATTTTCATCCAATCAAATCAAGCCACGTGGCATCTCTATCTTGCCAAATTTTTCTATAAAATCAGAGGCTCAGCTCATACCTCTCACACCACATCTTTCTATATTTTCATTTATTAGAGTTTAGAATTCATACTCCATTCATTTTCAATGGAAGAATATAGGAGATGCTTGGAGAGGCAAGAGCGAGAAAGAAAGGAGAGAAACTGTAGAGCCACAAGTCGATGAACAAGTTCTCATAGCAGTGGCAATGGAAGAGGAAGAGAACCAAGATTGTCGCCGTGGTTCACAAGTCGGCCATCGCCGGAATGTGGACACTATAGGCGTTCTCGGGGTAAGAATCTTTTGGAAGATTATTTTATCCCAACTGCTTTGTACTCTGATGTTGATTTTCAAAGGCGATTTAGAATGCAACCCCATTTGTTCAATAAAGTCATGCATGATATTTGCAATTATGATGCATATTTTGTTCAAAAGTGTGATGCTACTGGGGTTTTGGGCTTCTTCCAGAGCAAAAACTTACCAGCTGTTATACGCATGTTGGCGTATGGAGCATCTGCTGATCAGGTGGATGAGGTTGCTCGAATGGGAAAGTCCACTACGTTGGAGGCTTTGGTAAGATTTTGTGATGCAGTTGAAAATCTGTACACTAGGGACTACCTGCGTAGACCTACTCCTAGGGATCTCCAACGGCTTTTACAAAAAGCCGAAGCTCGAGGATTTCCAGGAATGATTGGTAGTATTGACTGCATGCATTGGCAATGGAAGAATTGCCCAACTGCCTTGCAAGGTGATTACGGAAATAGAAAAGGCCAAAAAAGTATCATCCTGGAAGCCGTTGCTGGCTTCGACACATGGGTTTGGCATGCCTTCTTCAGAGTTGCCGGAGCCCAAAATGACCTCAACGTCCTGGGTCAATCTCCGGTCTTCAACGATGTTCTGAGAGGCCAAGGCCCCAATATTACCTATCAAGTCAACAATACAGTCTACTAGACGGGGTATTATCTAGCTGACGGTATCTACCCAAGGTGGATCACATTTGTCAAATCCATTTCGAATCCCCGATCCCAGAAGTAAAAATTATTTGCTACCTATCAAGAGGGATACATGAAAGATGTCGAAAGGTGTTTTGGCATCCTTCAAGCTCGGTGGTTGATTGTTCGAGGTGCGGCCCGTATGTTTGATGAGGAGATCTTCCGAAGCATTATGATGACTTGCATCATCATCCATAATATAATTGTGGAGGATGAGTACAATTATGATGCTGGAGAGGTCTACGAACCGGATCCAATGAACACGGCCTTGACCCGGATTTATGAAAGGCCCATGGGGCCAAGTGGAGAACCGTTTGAGCTAGAACCGTTGGTGAGGGACGATCGTTTCATGACCAGGATAATAGATCGATATAAAGAGATGCAATCTTCGTATATTCATGAAAGGCGTCAACTTAACTTGATAGAGCATCTATGGGCGGTGAGAGGGAATGAAGATGAATGATGGAGTATAGATGTTTTGGTTATGTTTTATTTACTTATGGTTTGGTTGTGTTGTTTTTTATTGCTTATGGTTTGGTGTTGAAAGTGAAGGGTATTGATAGGAAGAAAAAAAAAATCAGATTTTTAAAGTATTTTTTAGTATTTAAAAAAAAAAAATTAATTTTTTTTCATAATTTTATTGCTGGAAAAACGACAGTCGTTGGATGAAGGCTATAGAATCAAATCGGAGCGCTAGGGGCGTGCCACGTGGCTTCTAGATGTTGGAGCTGCGTCGCGCTAACGTCAGCGCACGCTAGTTCAAATTTTTTACCTTTGGCACGCGCCAACGGTAAAAAAAAATACAAATTTATAAATAAACCCAATTCTAGACATGTATTTATAAAAAAACCCAAGCACTATTTAAACATAGAAACACACCCAAAATCAACCACAAAGTCAACTTTTTGGGTGTGTTTATAAATGGGTTTTGAGTGTGTGTAATGATGGGTTTTGGGTGTGTTTATATGTTTAAATAGTGCTTGGGTTTTTTTATAATTTCAACCCCCATTTTGGATGTTTTAGTGAAACTCCCAAAAAAAAAATTGATTACCGCGTGCTCGACGTCAGCCTGACGTCGAGCTGAAGTCACCCCCCGCGTTTTGGACCTCAGGCGGAAATAGCCTTCGAGCCAGCCCAGGTTGGTGGATCCTACACCCCCCGAGCCTGGGCTGTCCGCTGAAAAAGCAATTTTTTTTTTCCCCAGCCTCTGGCTGGGCTTCACCGCTGGAGTAGCTCTAAATGTGGCAAGAAAAATACATAAATATTGCTCACTCTGACCCTTTGGATATAGCTTCTATCCAGTCCAAATCAGAAATAGTTTCTTTTATTGTTTATTATTTTTTCTTGTTTATTTATTTGCTAAGATCAAATAAAAGTAGTTGACATAAAAGAAAAAGAACATCAGAAAAGACGAACCATTTTTCACCAGCCATAGCCAGCTTTTTGTCACCTTGAAAATCTTGTGAGCTTTTTATCATCACTATCAAAATTTAATACATTTGAAAAATCAAATGTCAATTACTAACACTGTATAATTCACAAATTTTTTATTTTACAGAAAAAAAAAAATTAAAAACAAAAACAACCCTATTCACACTGAAGGCGGCTGGGGTTGGAGCGGCGCCACGCCTCAGACTCTTCCTCCCCGCCTAAAAACATTACTAGCACCCCTTGCAAATTCAGACAACAATGTGGCGGGGGCGGGGGCGGGGGCAGCTGCTGACTCGCCAACCAAAACCGCCACAATTTCCTTCATGCTAGGCCTTCTCTGGGGATCAGGATGGCAACAAGCCAATCCAAGCTTCAAAGCAACCTCCATCTGCTCCTCCTCATACTGTCCTTCTAATCTACGGTCCGCAGCCTCCCCCACCCTCCCTCTTGCATACAATTCTCTCACCCAATCAATCAGCACCACCTCATCCTCCGCAGCCTCCATCTCAATAGGCTTCCTTCCGCAAGCCACCTCCAACAGCACCACACCAAAACTGTACACATCGCTCGCCGCCGTCGGCGACGCCAGATTTGCCAGCTCCGGCGCCAAGTAACCCAACGTACCGACCACACGTGTCGTGTTGGGCACTGCTCCGTGCTGGTACAGCTTGGCCAGCCCGAAATCGCCGAGCCTCCCTCTCATCTCGGCGTCCAGCAAAATATTGCTCGACTTGATGTCTCTGTGAACCACCATCTGGTCCCAGCCATGGTGGAGATAGGTCAGGCCTTCCGCCACGTCGGCCAGAACACGACGTCGTTGCTCCCAACCCAGAACCGTCTTGGGCTTGTCGAAGATCCACCTGTTGAGGCTTCCGTTGGGCATGTAATCGTACACGAGCATGAGCTCGTTCCTCTTTCTGCACCATCCTCGCATTTGGACCAAGTTCTTGTGTTGCAGCCTGCCCATGCTTGCGATCTCCGCCATGAACTCTCTCAGTCCTTGCTTCGAATCGTGGTTGACGCATTTGACTGCGATTTCTGTGGCGTTTGATAAAGTCCCTTTGTAAACTTTTCCGAACCCACCAAAACCCAGAAGCTGATCTTTTGAAAAACCATCGGTGGCCTCGCTGAGCTCTTCGTTTGAAAATCTGTGCGGCCAATACTCGAGCTCCCAATCTTCAATTTCATCCTTCTCTTCACGTTCCAGCTTGTTCTTTCGCCAATACAAGTAAAACCCATATGCTAAAACCAACACCACAACCACACAACCGATTGCGATCCCTGCAATTGCCCCATTTGACAACGAAGACGAAGAAGAAGAACTCAGCTGAAACACAGGCAAATTGGTGGTGTTAATCTCTCTAGCAACCCCGGTGTCGCTAAAACTCCAAGCTAAAACTCTCTGCGCCTCAATCAACTGCCGCGTTTTGGAAGCCGAAAACCCAACAAACATCTCGGCCGAAACGTAATTCGCTATCTTGGGGTGTCTGTAAGTAAGCGTGGGCAGAGAAGGACGTGAAACATTAGCAGGAGCGACAGTGACATTGAATTCAAAATTAGTCCCGTCGAATTCAATCCAAGCCCGAACGTTCTGGCCGGTACGCATCTGAATCGGGACGAGGCCTCCACTTGAATCGTAGTATCCGGCCGGCTTTGTGATAGCAGATTCAACGTTGTTGAGGTCGATGCCGATGTGGTTTCCATCTGGGTCGTTGAACTCTTGATTTTGCCCGGTATCGAACTCGACGGCGAGCAGCGGAGCGACGAAGGGGACAGTGGCGTCAGTGAAGAGGCCGAAGTATTGGCTGGCGATGGCGTTGGGGGGTGAGGTGGAGTTGGAGAGGACGAAGCAGAGGCCGAAGCCTGGGCTGGAAGCGATGTCGGGGAGAATAGAGAAGACGAAGGAGGTGGAGAAGGAGGTGAGGGAGGAGGAATTGGAAGTAGGTCTCATGGCGAGCTTTGTTGGGTAGAAGACGCGGCCGACGGAGAGCGGAGCGGTGTCGTTTGTAAGGCGGATGACGGTGGCCTCGAGCAGAGCGTCTTCGATGAGAGTGAGGTCGGTGGCATTGGTGATGTTGGAGAAGGAGTTGAAGAGAAAGTCGAGAGCCGAAGTGGGAGAGAAGAAGATGGGGTGGAGAAGGAGGAGGAGGGGGAGGAGAAGTGAGAAGGGTCTCATTCCGTACAGATTCCGGTGACCGCCAGCGATACTGAAATTGGTTGAAAAAAATTTGAAGGTTGGTGGGATTAAAATAGTTGGTTATGTTACTTTCTTCAGTGAAGATTACTCAGTATTGTCCGAGTGGACAGCTCCGTCAGTCCTAAACCCTAGTAATTCATTATTTCATATTGAAGAAGGACCTCATGCAAGAAATGAAATATTATTATTACAAATATAGTTGTTGCTTTTATATATATTGAATAGGGGAATGCACTCGAATTCGATTCACATAAAAGACAATCTTAAGGCAACCCAATATAATAATCCTCCATTTCCCTCCCTATTGAATGACAAAAATAAAATAAAAAAGGTCAAATTGCAAAAGTAGTAGAATAAAAATTATAGTTGAAAATTTATTACATATAGGACTAGTAAAATTTCTTTAAAGAATAGAGTTATATGCAAATGTGACCTAGTTAGTAGCAAAACCACCATAATGACAATTAGGGTCAAATTAAAATTTTGGTTTGTTTTTCTGAAACTTATTGTTTTCGTTGAAAGATAAAAACTATTTTGCTGTCTGTCAATCACATAATGTTGCAACCACTGTTTAAAGTAGTCTGTCCAATGTCAACACCAACATTCAATATCCCAGTTACTTTCACAACCACATACTGAAATAATAAATACCCGATCACAAGAAATTAGTCAGTAATTATGTAGGCAAAGGTCATGCTCCCTATTATTTAGTTAAAATTTAGCTAAAAACACAAAAAAGTTATTTTAGGAACTCTATAAAATTTGAACTCCAATCATACTCCATAAGTTAGGAAGTCATAAATACTATAATTATTTTTTAATTCAATATGATTGGTTATCATCTTTATATAAAAAATAAAAAAAATAGCTTGTAGTAATTAAAAGTTTAAACTATGCATGAAACGAAACATCATTAAATTATAAGGAGCCACTAGGAGTTCTTTATCTCTCCTCAAATTTAGAAGTTCCTAGAGATCTCTCTATTTTAGGAGGTGAATAGGGAGCATGGTTGAAGTTGTATTTTTCCAAGTTCTCTCTAAAATTTGTCTAAGGAGATGGTTTAGGAACCTTATTGTGGATGCTTTAAGTGCGAGTGATTATAGTGTACATAGTATGAGAGTATGTCACTTGGTATAACTCATTTGTTAGAATATATAAATGGATATTTATTGATATTATATAATAAAAGTGGGAAATATTAACCATATCACCCATCCATATTATAACACGTGAACGAGTTACAACAGCCTTGCTACGCAGTAAAGCGTACGTACATGTGGGTTTTTGGCAAGTCATTAGACACAAACAAGTTTAAACACTTAAATAAATCTCTACCACATGATTTCATTGAAATAGATCCAACGATTAAGCACCTCATTCCTCAAATGATGACACTAAATCTCTCAATTGCATGCATGGCAATATATATATATATATATTATTCAGCTAGGATATTCTAATTGCCCCAATAATATCTATATTCCTATGTGCAAACATTGCTTGTCACGTGTGTACGTCCCCATCATTGACTTTACGCTAGCTCTTCAATTACTCATGTAGATTTTTTTTTTCAAGTGCCCATAGATATAAGGCTTCCATATATAGGGCTCACCTCAATTAAAAATGTAGTTAGTAAATGTTGGCGTGAGTCAACGTTCCTATTAGGAATACAATTGATATTTTATTGTAATGATCTAATTTGAGTAGAATTAGGAGATTTTGTACATATTTCCTATTTGTAACCACTATGTATGTAGTAAATATATTCCTTATTGAGAGAAGAATAAACATATCAGTTTTAAACCCTAATTATTTTTGAGTTGGTATCAGAGCGGGTTCCGATCCGTCTCTACAACATCAAAACCATAATCCTAAAAATACTTATTTCCACTGCACCTAGCCTATACACCTAAACCTGTGCCGTCTTATATCTCTTACTGTCGTCGTCGTCACCTAATCTTTCGCTGCCACCGCTATCTCTCACCATGTCAGATGTCACTGACTCTTCTTCTTTTTCTATTCCTATTGTGACGGTTCATATCGAATCGTCCACCAACCTACCTATGGGATTCAAATTGAATGGATCCAGCTATGAGATATGGGCTTCGATGATCGAACTCCATGCTACTGCACAAGGCAAATTGGGTTACTTGACTGGCGACACTGATTCAAAGGACCCGAAATTTGGGAAGTGGAAAATTGCTGACGCTGTTGTGAAAAGTTAGATGTTGCGAAATATGGAACCCAATTTGTTGAATATGTTTCATACTCTACCTATTGCTAAGGAAATTTGGGATGCTGTCAATCAGATGTTTTATGATGGCTCTGACATATCCCAGCTCTATGAACTGCGATGCCAGGTTACCCGTCTCAAGCAAGAGGGTCGTCCTGTCTTTACCTATTTTGCCGAACTTAAGGCAATATGGCTTGAATTGGACAAGAGATGTCCTTTTCAGATGAAGTGTGCTGATGATATGAAGACTTTTCAGGCTGTTGTTATGGCAGATCGTGTGTATGATTTTTTGGCTGGCCTTGACAATACTTATGACAAGGTCCGCAGTGATATTCTATGAAGTGATAAAGTTCCAAGTATCAAAAATGTATTTTTTATGGTTCGTCGAGAGGCTCAACGACATATTACTATGCTTGGATCTGGCACCAAGATTGGGGAACCTACTATTGTGTTTGCTTCCAAGAACACCGCTTTGGTTTCTCAGCGTACATGGTCTGGTTCTTCTGCAGCTGACATCACCACTGGGTACGACCATCTTACTGCTACTCCTCCTCTGACTTTGATCGCTGTCTCAAGCACTCCAACATCTTCGCCTCTAGACTCGGGAGATCTTTGGTCGTGGTACTAAAAATGGGGGGCTTTATTATGTGGATGATGTGGCAACTAGTCGGGTTCTTCGTGCTGATAGCGCCGAAACTTCTCAGCATCGCCGGATTTGGTTGCTCCATTACCGATTTGGTCATGCTTCATTTGGATATTTACGGCATTTGTTTCCTGCATTATTTAGTGGTGTCAATGAGTCTGCTTTCCAGTATCAGCCTTGTATTTTAGCTAAGAGTCATCGGGTATCCTACCCTCCAAGTTGTAATAAATGGCTTATGCCATTTGATTTAGTTCATTCTGATGTTTGGGGACATTCTCCGGTTTCTAGGAGTTCGTTGCTTTGTATATTTGTGGATGATTGCACTCGTATGATGTGGTTATATGGGATGAAAAATAAAAGTGATGTGGTCGAAATTTTTCAGCATTTCTATCATATGATTCAAACTCAATTTATGCTCCTTATTAAGGTTTTTCGATCTGATAATAGTGGAGAATTTGTTAATTCGGCGTTATCCCATTTTTTTACACTAAGGATATACTCCATGAGACTACTTGCCCTCAAATACCACAATAGAATGGGGTTGCTGAACGTAAAAATGGGCATATCCTTGCTACTACCCATGCTCTACTGCTTGGTGCGTTGGTTCCAAAGCGGTTCTGGATGGATGTTGTTACCTATGCAGTCTATCTCTTGAATCGTCTACCTTCCCGAGTTTTGGATTTCCAAACTCCTATGCAGGTACTGACCTATCATATCTCTGCCTCTTCTATGCTGACTCTGTCTCCAAAGGTGTTTGGTTGTGTTGTCTACGTTCACCTCCATCAGAATCATAGGAGTAAGTTGGATCCATGTGCTCTCCGCTATGTCTTTCTGGGTTTCTCTCCTCATTAGAAAGGCTACCGATGTTATCATCCTGCAACCCGATGTCTATATGTCTCTATGGATGTTACCTTTATTGAGGATGAAATGTTCTTCTCTGATACACCCGAGCACGTCATTCAGAGGGAGACTAATAGTGAAGGACATAACTGGCTAGATTTATAAGGGGGAGTAGTATTGGATAGTTTGATACAAAGGAAATAACCGATCGAACCTGTTGAACCTACTACATCGGCTGAACCTGCTACACTAGATGAACCTGCTATTTTAACTAATGTCACTACTGTCATTGAACCGATTGCCCCCCATGAAGCTTCTCTAATAGTACCCGATCAAGCTCCCCTGGATATTCCTGCGGTAAGTGCTTCTATTCATACTTCTAATAATTCTTATGTTTTACCGCCTAGAAGGAATCGTGGGGTTCCACCTGATCGTTACTCACCAAAAGGCAAAGCAAGATATGCTATTGCTCATTATGTGTCTGATCAAAGGTTATCTCCTGAGTGCAAAGCATTTGTGACTAGAATGGATATTATTAAAATTCCAACTCGTGTTGAGGAGGCATTTAATGATCCAAAGTGGGTTGAAGCCATGAATATTGAAATGGAGGTATTGCAAAAAAATAATACGTGGGACATTGTTGATCTACCAAAGGGAAAGAAGCATGTAGGATGCAAATGGGTGTTTACAGTTAAATATAATGCAGATGATACCGTGGAGAGGTACAAGGTAAGAATAGTAACTAAAGGGTTCACTCAGACGTATGGAGTTGATTATCATGATACTTTTGCACCTATGTCTAAGATGAATACTGTCAGAGTTTTGTTATCCTTAGCAGTAAACTTGGATTAGACCCTGAAGCAATTTGATGTAAAAATGCATTCTTACATGGTGAACTAGAAGAAGAAGTGTACATGAGTCTTCCACCAGGGTATAGGGTTTTCGGTGAAACAGGGAACTTTGTGCAAATTGAAAAAGGCGTTGTACGGGTTAAAGCATTCTCCTCGGGCATTGTTTGGTAGATTTACCACCACTATGAAGAAGTTTGGTTACTCTATTCATTAAACATAGGGCTAAGGTGACTTTGTTGATTATTTATGTTGATGATATGATTGTGACTGGTGATAATACTGTAGAAATCGAGAGACTGTAGAAACGTTTAGCATCTGAATTTGAGATGAAAGATTTGGGCAGTCTAAAATATTTTCTAGGAGTAGAAGTCACTCGATCTAAACATGGCTTATTTCTTTCACAAAGGAAGTATGTCATGGATTTGCTAGCAAATATTGGAATGCTTGACTGTAAACCAACTGATACACCTATTGTTGAGAATCATAAACTTGGTGTTTATGTGGCTTGGGTCCCAACTAACAGAGAAAGATATCAAAGATTGGTTGGGAGATTGATTTATTTATCATTGACACGCCCTGATATTGCCTA